CTATTTACATTATATTCAAAATAGGTCTGCCATAGTGAGTGTAGTAGCATCATCAGTTCTTGAGTTTTGACTGAATTTGATATACATGTGCCACTGAGAAATTTTTTATAAACAAAAAAATACTTCTATAGGTAAAAAAATTTCATTATTAAATCAAACATCTAAGACCTTCGTATCTTCGAATAGAACGCTGCTGGCGAATCATCTGTCGATAAAAACTGTATTCCTTTCAGCTGATTTATTATTTTAGGGAATAAAAAGGAGTCATACGCTTTGGCACCGTATGACTTCTTCTTCTTCTCCAGGGCTGTAAGGAGAGTGACCCTAAAGCTTAACTTATGTGCTGTCCAGTCCCTCGTTTTGGACGCTGAGTACGCGATCGTATTATCGTGGTAAAGCAGTAGCCCGCACAGCCTCGTGTTCGATCGCTTGTTGCTCACAACAGTAAACACTTCTGGCAAAAATTTGTTAGTATACCATGTGGTATTTAAGCTACTTCGATTTTGTAAAGAAATTGACGCCTGATATCCCGTCAATGTCAAAGAGCTAGCGCTCAAATGTTCTCTACGTTTGTCCATTTTCAACAGTCAAACCATCAACTGGCGTTTCGTTTTTGAATATTTTGATAAATCCATAATCACCAGTAATAATATCGTCAATGGGTAATACATATACACATACATAGTATCATATAGTATAGTAGTAGTATAGTACTTATATATTTTTGTATATAGACATATACAAAAATATATAAGTTTATATATTATAAGAAAATATATTATAATACAAGATGCATAAAGATACGTAATATACTGGTAAAACTAATATACAGAGATTACAACTATAATGATGATGGAACTTAGCAGTTGTAAAGCAATTTTAGAAAATGATCTCGAACATTCTTCTTAAATGTTTGTTTGCAGGTAGGTTCTCTTAATTTTTCGGGTAGGTCAATCCACTGGCGCGCGGTTTGAACAGTAAACGATTAAGATATCAAACTCGAATGGAAAAGGGGTATAAAGAGAGCAAGAGTCTGCGATGAACGAAGCTGTCTGCCATGCGTGTCGCGCAGGAACCGAAACTTATGTTTCAGATAATTCAGATTAGTGTTGCCCAAAATCGGTCTTGGTCTTGCAGTCTTGGTCTTGCTCTTGCGTTTTTGCAGCTATTCGGAAGTACAAGGTCAAGATACACGCGCCGGCGGCTTCTATTGATATCGCATTCAATCGCCGCCGCCGCGCCGCACGCACTACATATGACACTGTTTGATTGCCACCATAGAGTAGATGTTCCAAAGAATAAAATAAGTTTCCGGGTACTCAGAATAGACACGAATACATTATGCTGATCTCGCAAGGAATATTGTAATTAGATAATGGTAAGGATAGGTAGATACCATAATAATTTATTCTAGTAAGTAATTATTATAATATTAACTATATGGGTTTATAATAATTACTTACTATTATTATTATTACCTAATAGATAAACATGTTCAATAAGTTCACTGCAAAACTCGATTTTTGGAAGTGTGTGTTTTTGAACACAAAGTGTTCGAATATGTCGTCACCCATTTGATAAATATTGTAGACACTCTTAACACACTTGAAACGTGTAAACATTTTGTACAATGCTAATCGAATAATATAAAAAGTGTGCATATTAAATAAAAAGCGTAAAATAAGATCTATGTACTTTTTAGGAGCCCGAGTATCTCTTAGAGAACCGTTTAAAGAAATTGATTGCATCGAATTGATGTAAATAATAGTGATTTGCACAATTTTAATAGTAGAAATAAAAATAAAATCACAATACCTGCTTTCCGGTTACACAAAGTATATAATGCGTTCTTGGGTAGCGATATACGCTTTTATAATAAGATTCCAAAAGAAATGTTAGATCTTTCACCTTTTCAATTTAAGTCAGACAAAAATGCTTGGAACTGACCTCTCGTACTACACAGGACTAACCAGAAATTTCCAAACCGATTTGGTACCTACATATAAATTTGACATTTTATGTTTGACTTATCGCTTTACATAATTATAGTACTATTGTAAAAATATTTTGAAAAGAGCAACTACTGAGTTTCTTACTTTCTTCCATGATTCTTCTCAGTAGAATCAGAACCCCTGGACATGGAAAAGAAAAAATTGGGGAAAACAGTGATTATATGACTATTCAAAAGTGTATTTTTAATGCCTACTTGAATAAAACATATTTGAATTTTGAATTTCAAACGAGTGAAGGCAAATTTAATGTAATTAACGTAGATTAATTCAATCACAAGAAGAACATAATATACACAATTTTATTTACATATTTAAATTTCATTTTTACGTAGGCACACTATACCTATCTGGCAACGTATCTACTTTATTAATCTTCTGAAGAATCGTTATTTTTATCAAAGAATGCCGAACTTTTCTTTGTCGGTCTTTCGGCGTGTACTTACAAATAGTAGTATTTATTTTAATTCCAGTCATTCCCAATTGAGCTTTGCTTCGAAACTAATGTATTAATTGTTTTTACTCCAATCCTTGTCGTTCTCGGAGTGATAAGTTTACAATTTGACATGAGTGACGAAGAGTCGAATAGTTCTAGTCGGAGTAGTGAGAGTTGGAGTTATAGATCTAAAAGACCTAAAAGAAAATTTAATGAGTTTTTCGACATAATTCATGCATCCCAAATTGCTTTGTGTAAATTATGCCAACATAAAAAGGTTGAAATAAAAATGAAAAACAGAAACACTTCAGGCTTAAGGAAGCATCTAATATCTTTCCACAAAAAGGAATCACAAATATTTCTTCCTGAAAAACCAAAATTAAGTGGAGATATCACAAGCTTTTTCATAACCACCGGAAAAAGTGGACAGGTAAGAAAAAATATACTTATCACACAATTACATAACACATATATTATGTAACTAGCGGCCGCCCGCGACTTCGTCCGCGTACAATATCTGATTTCCTATGAGATTTTGAAATTTTCCCGCTGCAAAAGTCTTACCTAAGTATAAAGAGGCTATATAGGTAAAGCTTAACTATGCAAGTATTTATTATTTAAAACTAATAAAGTAAATGTCGATCTTCATATCTATACTTTAAAAATATAGGACTTGCATGTAACCATTTTACCCCAATTTCACCCCCTTAGGGTGGGGATTTCGTAAAACAGCTTATTCAGGATTTTATTATTAAAAACTTATAACTTTAATGCTGATTTTCGTGTCTCTAACTTCAAAAACGTAGACTTTCATACAAACTTCCTGAGATATCGTTACAGTCAGTCACTGAGTGGTAGTTATATATATACAGCACGTAATATAATTAACGCACTTTGAGAAAGTAGTTTGTTCAGAATCGTTTACTGAATCGATTACTATCATTTTTAATATAGGTAATTTTTTATCCAAAAATAATTGAAACTACGTAATTTACAGTCAGACTAAACCTGTACAGTCAATACAAACTGAAATGGACCGTAACTCAAGGCAATAAGACTTAAAAGTGCAGTGTTGTTTGTATTAATACAAATTCCGTCACACAAAATAAAGAAAATTGAACCTTATTTCAAGTATGTTAAAGTCTTTACAAATACAGAGTTGGGAGTACCTTATAAAGGTCGAGGCGGCCGGGCCATTGACCTCCCAGATCACCTGATTACGCACGTATTAAATATTAATACTAATATTATAATTAATAATAATATATTAATTCTATGAGTGAACGATTTTAGAATAGTGAAAAATGACACTTAATTGCTTTCTAAAGTAATTTTCTTTCTTTTCCTTTTTTAAAACGTAACCTCCACAGTAGGATTTTCTCTTGTATTGTGAGGACAGTGTACATACATAAATTTCACAAGGACAAACATCCAGACCCGGAACAATTATTTGTAGGCCATACAAATATTGCATCCGTGCGGGATTCGAACCCGCGGTCCTTAGCGCTGCAACTCAATTGCTAAGCCACTGCGCCACGTAGCCGTGGTGGACATTTTGAAAATGTATTAAAATACAACGTTGCATGAGAGTTTAGACTATCAGTAAGTTAAATATTTGATTCTTAAAATTATTGTAATCTTGATTCACATCTTTTAAACACGCCGTCTTTGAATTATGTTTTCGTATTGCCTCTTAGTTTTAGCAGTTTATTATTATTTACAATTACAATTCAAATGTTATGCAAATTCATAACATTTTGTAACAAATATTGCCTATTGACATTGTATCATAATCAATAAACAAAATTATTCAGAGTCGAAAGTCCAATGGTTGAAGTGTGATTGAAAGATGCGATCAAATTTTTACTAGACTTAAATAAACAACTCGATGGTCGGAGTACGAACATCAGTTAGTGATCATAGGTAGGTATTTTTTTAACATAAACAATTGTGTATTGTTAGCTTTTTTCGGCACTTATACCTACCTACAGTTGTGTCAAGTGGCGGTGGCGTTAACTCGTCTCGAACGCGTTAACGCCGCCGCGTTCGCGCCGCGCCTAATTTAATAAATAATTAATGCATAAACATGTTTAATTAAAAAGTCAGTGTATGTATAATGATATATATATATATATATATATATATTATAGTTACTTAGTTATGATTATAGTGTTAAATATGTATTTATAATTCACTCATATTTTCATTTGTTTTTATAATCGGCGAGACACATGATTTACTGTTTTATTTCAGTCTGAAAATAGCAGTGACAACATCACGACAGCTGCAGTTGATTGGATGGTTAAAACATATCTTCCCTTCTCATTCGATGACGAAGCTACACAAGTATATTTTCGATCAATTTGCCCATATATGGTGTTTCCTAAAAGGTACACACTTAGATGGAAGGTCAAAGAACGGTTTGAAGAGCTTCAATTGAATCTTAAGAAACGACTACAACAATTTTCATCTAAAATGTCATTTACCATTGATGGATGGACGTCAATTGCTGGTAGGAGTTACTACGGGGTCACTATTCATTATATAGACAACGAATGGAAGTATCGATCTGTAGTCTTAATTTTATACCATCACGCGGTCGACATACTGGGGAAGATATTGCAACGATTTTCCACGAATGTTTATTGGAATATGACATAATTGATAAAATACAGGGTATCACGGTCGACAACGCAACTGCAAATACCAAATTTATGCATGAATTGGACAAACAGCTGCCACACTTTGATTCAGACAATCAACATTTCCGGTGCTTTGCTCACATTTTGAACCTTGGTGTACAAAATTTATTAAAGACCTTAGCATTACACAGTGAAACTGACAATAAGGGACAAGAACAGCAGTATGAAGACAATGAAGACGAAACTGAGGAAGATGAAGAATATGCCCCAAATATTGCTGACTCACGTACAGCTATAACAAAATTACGCGGTATTTCCAGTAAAATAAAAAAAAGTGAGATATTGAAGAGGAAGTTTCAGTCTGCTTGTGAAGCAGCTGGCGTGCCATCAAATCTGAACCCCATACTCGACTGTCCAACGAGATGGAATTCCACACATGATATGATTGGATTTGGTTTAAAAGTGAGAACTGGCATTAACATATTGTGCACTTCTGTCACCGAATTGAATGATTTTCAAATCACAGATAGTGAATGGCAAATACTCGAAAAATACATAAGTTTCTAATAAACTTTAAACTTCTATCAACGAAACTTGGTGGAGAAAAATATGTTACATTACCGCTAGTCATTGTATCATTCAGTCTCTTGCTCGATAAAATTGAATCCATGTTAAAACAATTAAATGAGAAACCTAATCGATCCGAAGTGGATGAAAGGCTCATTCTGGGTTTTCAAGCAGCTCGAGACAAAATGCTTAAACATTATAAAAAGAGCAACTGGATTTATTGTACCTCTTTAATTTTAGACCCAAGGCATAAAACTCAGACTTTTGACATGACATTATGGGGGAAGCAAATTAAAACAGAAAGCCTGCGCAAATTTAATGAACTTTATAAAGAATATAAAAGTCTACACTCAGTGAATACATCTCTAGAATCACCAAGAAATGAAAAGAAAGTATGTGAATATGATGAAGATGAAGACGTAATAGACTTTGAGAAACTGTATGCATATCCCTCGACGTCATCTGGATCTGGATCTTTTCATCAAGGCTTAGTTATAGACGAGTTGGAGGAGTACCTAAGTAAACCCAGAGCCGCCAGTTCGGAAGACATTTTAGAGTGGTGGAGGACGCATGAGACAGAATATCCGACTTTATCGAAGATGGCCCGTGATTTTCTTTCAATACCTGCAACTTCAGTACCTGCTGAGAGATTATTTTCCAAAGTATCATTAGTAATTAGAAAACATAGAAATAGGTTAAGTGATGAGTCAGCCAGATGGTTACTTTGTATTAATTCTTGGTCAAAAGAATTAATATAAAGTAACAGTAATGTCAAAGCTGTTGTGTACTGTTATGTAATTTAATTTGTATTGTATTTTATTTTTTATTTAAATAAATGTTAAATTGTATAACTCTTTTATTCCATTTCATATAAGGGTCTATCAATCTCTTTCTAGACAGATAATGTTCTTTATAATACTGTCTAGTTAATGTCATTAATTTGTTTTTTATATGTTTTGACTAAGTTTAAGCACATGTAAGCTTATTAAATGTAAATGTTTATTAAGAAACAGACTAACTCCCGTGGCCGTGAGACATGGTAGACAGCTCAGTTGGTTAGAGCATCGGCACGGATCGCTTAGGTCGTGGGTTCAAACCCCAGGTATTAGTTGATTTTTCGAATTTCTCATTAAATGTTTAGATATTTATTAATTTGGTTGGTCTTTCTATGGCTATGTTAATTCAAGCTCAAAATGTGCCTACTGTGTTAAGTTGTTCTAAGATCTAAAGTAACGTTTCATAAATAGCAATATGCTTGCGAGACTTGCGAGACTCTTGCTGCAAGACCAAGACCAAGAACAAGACTGAGAGCGCAATACCAAGACCAAGAACAAGACCAGGTGTATTGGCGCAAGACCAAGACCAAGACTGGCTAAGTCTCGTCTTGTTCTTGCATTTGGGCAACACTAATTCAGATAGTGGTTATCGAATAAAATAAAATAAAAACTGTGTTAAGTATCCTTATATGTCTTCGCTGACGAATAGGAAGCCATTTAAGATGAGTGCGGAATGAGGATACATAATGTAACTTACGAAAACAAAAAATAAAACTGATACAGTTATTGACGAGACGATACAGCTTGTCAAGGAAAATCTCATTAACATCAGGAAAACACACATCAGCAGTCAATAATAAGCAAAATAAGAAATTGCACCAGAGTTATCTTTACCTTGATCGGAAGAATATTCCTGAGACGGTTCAAAGCACTGTCATTCTTATTTTTGCATTTTTTTAGTGGCATTGGATTAAAAAATAAAATACTTGTATTATTTATATAATTCCAAACTACAATTAATCGAAGTAGGTTAAATTAACATGATTTTTATTAAAACTTAAACAACATAAATATTTTTTAATCATCGTTAAGAAAGTGACGAAAATGTCACCTCCATGTGAGCACCATCGTTTTATTAATAAATTAATATATTTTTTTTCAATACAACATGGAATAAACTTACTAAATAGAGCATTGAATTCACACAATCAAAATATTTCATAACATTTGTGCATGACGTATACGTGGTAGTCACGCTGCAGCTCGACCTGCGAAGGACCACGATCTCACAGAATACCAGCGTAAAATAGCAGATTAATGCTGCTGTGTTACGTGTGGTCAGTGTAAAGTATCGGAGACCCTTTTTACTGGAATAGAGGCATTCCATTTTAGTTCTCACGGCTGACAACAAATTTGCATTTTAATTCGCAAACGAGGATAGATGTAGATGAACTGGGTGCTCGCTTTTTATCCATATCTTATAAAAAAGTTTCACCTCCATGGATAAACTTATTGAACGCAGCCCTAGTTCAATAAATGAATAAACACAGTGTCTGAATACAGACGAATACAGACAACAAACACAACGCCATCTTGAAAATTTTTAACAGTTTGTCATTGCTGGAATAATAATTTTCGAGTAAAGACCTATAAGGTAAGATTCATTTTAAATTAGCATGCTATTTCGGTCTCTGATGTGGATTACTTATCACCAAAGAATTTATTTAATTAAGGCCTATCGGATATCATAAAACAATGGGCCACTGCAGCCGTTATCTTGGTATTTTGTCGTTTATATTAATCAGCATTTGAAGTTATGAAAAATCGGTATGTAAGTTTAAAATGTCACTTACATAGATGTCACCTACGTGGATTACGGTAATCCACGGAGGTGACTTAATGTCCATGGATGTGAATACTATGATCGCTCTTTAGTAATTTAAATATTATTAATGTTATTAACTGTAATATGTAAATATTTCTTGACCTAGGTTAATTATAGCACAAAAAATCGGGAAGACATTAATTGCTAGGAAAAAGAATGCGATAGGCGACGTCGGAAAAAAACAAAGCCCAAAAAAGCAGTAATTTTAAAAGTATTTGATCAAGTTTGATTCAAGTTGACAAGTGTGGTGAAGAGTACACGGAGTTTGTTTGGCCACATTGTAAAGATGTTTCGGATGGTGAAGATATAATTGATCCTAAAGTAACAATAATATCTTCACCATCACAACCACATTGCGGTCTAAGAAATGTAACATACTTCAAAAATAACTTATTACATTCATTCCCTCATCTTCGCTAAGATTATTCTAATGAATAAGATTCTTTGCTGTGTTTGATTTTTTCGATAGATGATTAAGTAGTTAAATATTACTTTTTATTAGTTTATTAAGGTTTCTCATTTACAATAATTTAAAAAGTCTTTACTTGATTATTTCGTAAGAGGTTAGCAAAATTACACGCTAACTAAATATTGTTGATTAATAATAATTTTTATTACTATTAACAGGTTGCCTATGTCACCAGATAGAACTGAATAAAAGGGTGTTAAACGACTTATGCTCCTATAAAACGTAAATACATACTTAAATAATACTAAAAATTAATAAATACCAAACTGATTAGTTATATAAAGATTATAATGGAAAACTACATCTTAATTCGTTAATAAATCATCCATAGTTTATTAAAATTGTACAAATATGTCATTATCGTGGAGCTGTGTCACTTCCGTGATTAGTTTTCATTTTTTATATTTTTTGTGAAAACTACAATGAAAATAGCTAGATTGTTATGTGCTTCATAATGCAAGATAAGATAAGATATCTCTCATTCAAAACTACTTTGAATCATATCAAAATAAAAATAAAATTTTTAGGATTTTAAGTCTGCTTTCGAGAATGGTTGTAATATGCCAAGACTATCCTGCTTCAAATTTAGTAATCATATCACGGCATCATTCCACGCAGGCCTGCTTCTGAGCATCGGTGAGGAGTATTTTAGAGCAAGAAAGAGTCTACCGCGATGTACCAATGCGTGTTAGTAGACTTCACATGTTACCGATTTTTTTTTAAATTTCAGACATTTGTATTTGATATTTTAAATAGCTACCACTTACTGTGAAATTGGACGTTCACTTATCTTATCTACGTTATCTTACTACACTTATCTACGTGGTAGAGCCATACTGCAGCTGTATTATGGTTGTAGCACGAATGGGTCGGCTCGACCGGGGAAGGACGACGCTCTCACAGAAAACCAGCGTAAAATAGCAGCTTAACGCTGCTGTGTTTCGTATGGTGAGTGTAGAGAACCGGAGACCCTTTTTACTGGCAAAGAGACATTCCATCTTAGTCCTCACGGGTGACAACGCATCTACATCTTGAGTCTTTATTGAGGATAGATGTAGATGTCTATGGGTCACAGTAACCACTTACCATCAGGTGGACTGTGTGCTCGTTAGTCACCCGATCCTATAAAAAAAATCTTACCTATACGTTTTTAAATGCCTACGCCGTTGATGTGATTTATGTGTGAAATATATTTCATTCATATGTTTAACACATAAACCACATCATTATATAACTTATATTCACTATAAGATGTTTAAATTATACACTATAAGATTGACATTACACTATAAGATATTTACAAAAGAATATTCTTTTGTAAATATCTTATAGTGTATAACGTAAAAATCTTATGTATGTATAGTGTACTTAATTTGAGTAGAGATTTTGTGGATTTTGAAGATGATCATGATATAATATTAATTGCATATTATATTGCATGTATGTATAGTGTACTTAATTTGAGTAGAGATTTTGTGGTATTACTGGATATAATAATGTATTGTATATTATTTATTTAAACTTATGTTTGGGAATATAAAGATTATATACAATTGAAAATATCTTTTCTAAAGAGGAAATTATATTATTATAACAATTAGGACATTTTTACCATGACTAGTGAAAACTGACGAGGCAACTAGACGTATAATGACCAAGTGGCAGTATTATAGTGCGCATCTTTTCTTGCAGCAACTATTGGATCAAAAAGTTTTAGACTCTAAAACTTTTTGATCGAATAGAAATACAAATTGTGATATGTTGTGTTAAATTCCAAAATCGTTTCCTAGCTTATCGTTCTAAGAAGTAGATACATTTAATAAATTTCCGCTCTAGAAACAGTTAAGAACACAATTTACACAAATTTTATTAAAAGTTCTAAAAAAAATATGCTAAGTATAGCGTTTAGCAGTATTTAGCCTCCATAAACGATAAAAGTCTCCTAACACTTTATTGTCATCGCTTACCGACTAGTTTGCAGAGGACTTGACGCTTGATCCAGTAAACAAGAACGTGAATGGCTATCAGTTTGTATGACAAGTCTGTTCGAAGCAAAAATCAAATTTCGATTCTGCCGACTTGATCAAACTTGCAGCGTTATGCGTACTTGAATGTGAGTGCGGACAGTCAATGACGGCCGGTGCCTGTTTTTCGTTGACAGTAACTCAGCTATGAGTAAAAGTGTTCTTTGAGCAGCAGACGCAGTGCACGTATTCTCACCTGGCGTCGTAAAATACTGCTAATATTTAAATCTCTTGGAGTAATTTTGGAGTAATGGCTTTTCCTTTCTCTGTTGTTTTAATTTCAAGTAATAATTCTTGTTTTTATAAAAAAGTAGGGCATCTTATATTGTATGAAATAGGTTAGTCGTCAATTGTAGTTGTGTTTCTTGAATCTACTTTCTTGAAGCAAATAGGTTACGCCTGCATTTCTTTCCATACGTTCAGTACAGAACTTTTAAAACTTATTAATTGTTATTCATTTCTACATTTGCTTTGAGCCGTGGTTACTAGGCACAGGGCTATGCTATATAAATATCGCAGTACGCATATAACCCGGGTTTCATTCCCGCCGGCACAAATGAAATCGTTAATTGCAATTTGAAGCAGTGATTTACCGTATACTCGC